TAACGCTCATTAGAACTAGAAAAGATAAATCACAATTGTAGTAGGACACTACTAATCATGATTATGTACTACATCAAGTTTACCTTGGCTAAGGTTGTATTACATTGCTCTTTGTAGATCCTACATATACTGCCTTTGATGGGACAATCTCCTAATCCTAATCTTATAGAATTGACTAGCAAATCATTTTAAAACCTCTAGAATGGCCAAAATATAACTTCACCCTCACTACAGCTTATTTGTTACGTGTTGGAGATATTCTGCACATGAAAAGATACCTACTAATTACTATAGTTACCCCTGCGCAGAATATACCGTATATCAGATTTAAAGATTCACGGTGACTCATTTTAAGGTTGATATTACTATTGAATATTTTCTCGTCAACAGTTCTATTTGTATGAAACTTGTAATTATTCTTGTATGTAACTTGTCGGGTGCATGGTAAGTTATCATTCTTGTGTCAAAAACAAAGTTCTAAACGTAGGTAAGAACGGATCATCTCTTCAAATTCTCCTTTTTCTATATTTTCAATTATTCTCCGTCAATAGTATTGTGCTCGGGTTTTTGTGCCTATTTGAAGTACCCTTTTGCATTTTTATGGTCTTGTTATTGTATCCCCGTCTTATCTAATCAGATGCTCGTGACAGATTCACAAGTTTATTGAAGTGGAGGTTTGGTGGCACGTCAATTGGGCTATGGCGATGGGATGCAATAGCAGGAGTTGTTACCGGATTTTCAACTTCTTTGATATCCGTCACTTTGGTTGGATTTTTATGCCCATTGATGTCTTTTATATGCCGATTATGTGCAGTAAAGAAACTCCCTCATTTTCCTAGTACCATCCTATTAAAGCGAGCCTGGTTGTTTACATTATACCTCTCTTTCATGAGTTGGGTCACTATTCAATATATAGAGAGGCTTGGCTTTAAGATTTTATAGTTCCAATATTAGGTGGCACTCATTTTTCTAGTAGTGTTACTCGCCCCAAGGGCTCATGATTCTGAGTAGCTGTAATGTTTTTGTACCAGTGTAAATAGCTTGTCAACTAGTGTTCGACTTTGTTTCACAAGTAGAATGTAGCTTTTCAATGAGGACCAATGTAACATTTTCTTCTCATATCTACTAATTTGTAGTGATTTTAGCCTCTCATATCAGTGTATGATGAACTCCCGAGGTACTTAACAGAGACCTTAGGTTCTTTGGTTCATTCGATTGGACTGCATTATGAAAGAAAAGGCAGTTGAGATGTTTGTTTGATGTCCTATTATACTTTATCCAGGTGAATGTATTGAACATGCACAACAGATTAAACAACTTCTGCAAATTATTGTGGTTTAGGGATGACAAAAAAGCTTATCGGCTCAGGCTCGATTCCCCCAGCCGAGGCTCGGGCCGAGCCCCATTTTGGGCGTCAGCTCGAGCCGGCCCGTGACTAAGTAAATATAAAAAAAAAATTAATTTTTTTTAAGTTTATAAGGCTCGAGCCGAAAGCTTGGGTCGAGCTTCATTTTTTTGGCCAAGCGTTGACTCAGGTCCAAAAAAGTTCGGACTTGTTTTGCTCGAGTCGAGCTCGACCTTTGAGTTTCGGCTCGTGGCTCGGCTCGACGACATGGCTATTGTGGTTTCAATGTGTTCCCAATGCTGGACGAGAAGTCATCCACTAAAATTATTGAATTAGGATCCACAATGTCACATAATGAACAAAATGGGAAGAAACAGGTGAGAGAAAGTATGAAGTTTGATTTAGACAAACTCCGATATGAAGAATAGAATTTGCATCAACTATTGTGACTCTAAATTAGAAAGAGAATGACTTCATTTATATAGGATTATCAGAGGAAATACGAAAACTTTAAAAGGATCTCCAATTGTGGTGTAAAATAGGTCTGAATTGTAATTTATATCTCCCAAGTGGTCAAAAACCTCTCCAATGAAGAGAAGCAAAGGAAATGCAAACTCATTTTCTGACAGAGCGTAAAAAAAGTGTAAATTTACTTTATATATATTTTGATTTTAGATCAATCAGGATGTAAACGATTATGCAAAAGTTGTTTTGAAAATATCAATTTATACCCAATTTTACACCACCATTGAAGATGCTCTAACCGAAGAACATTGAACATTTTGTTCCACATAATAGTAAAGCTCAGCAGTCAGATTCAAAGCTATCCAACTTCTAAGTTAACCGAGTACACTATCAAAAGTTTCAAAATTAGAAAAGAAAAAGGTTTTCTAACACTAACATCAATCAGTATATATTACACCATAACTGAAGGAAATAAACAAATAAATGTTTCCATCATTAAAATGTCT